CTTTATATATACGATCTAATTAGAAATTACTTGATAACATTCTATACAACCTTTAATACGTATCCAACTTGTTTATCAAGTTTTTAACTTATAAATTATCTACAAATAGATATAAAGTCAAATTTGAATCTATGAAGCTTTTAAAAATGTTTTTTACAAGATATTACATAATTTATTTATTTTTATTTATTTCTATTTAATTCTTTTTGTATAAATAATTATTAATATTAATAATGACTATGAAATTATTTTTCCTTCTAAAAACAAGCTTTGTAAGGAATAGTAATCACATGTTGAAGAAGTTCAAGATATAACAAATTATATTTAAAACACAATCTAATCTTTATTCTTTTTAAAGATGATTGATATATCATTTCAACTATCAATAGTATTTCATACTACAATAGAAAGACCACCATGTTATTTGATCATTTTTAGGCCTTTATGACTTCTTTCAATAAAACATTTAGAATAAAATTAAGAGTGGTTTTATCTCCAATAATATCACCAAACACCAAAAATATCTTTTAAGGTTATAATGAAAAATGCATTGTCTCTAACCATCTATTAAAAAATCATGTCATTCTTAAAGATCTTTATTTCTATTATGTATCCTAAACGCTAAGATAATTTCAATGTCTTATTTGATGATTTAGAAAATAATAACTTCTAAGTTAAAGTTGTTAACTATTAATTATTTTTTTTTTAGCACAATAAATATAAAGAAACCACAAATATAGATATAAGATAAAATAAAAATTTTATTGAACATTCTTTGCTACATGTAAAGATTTATTTTTATTTTTCATCTTGATTTTGACAAATGTAGTTAATAAAAACAATAACATTCTTTCCTACATTTTCAAGATTCTTAAATGGCTCCTATATGGATTTACTAATATCATATTTGTATTAATATATAAGATATTTTTATAAAAAATAAATTTTATATTTATAATGATAAAAATAACAAAAAAAATCAAATATACAGTGATACAATATGTATGAGGTTTACTTCTCTAAAGCTACATCCATGGAAGAAATCTCTAATTCACAACTTTACTAATATCATATCTAAGATACAATATATTCTCTCCAAGCTAATTCATTTATTGCAAAATTTATCCTATACATTAATTCTCAAATCTAAATCTGCCTAAGACTATATCTTATTAGGCCTCTTGAATCAAAAATTCTAAATTTAATATAATATTTTGGCATTCTTATTTTTATGTCATAAATAATTTATATTGGAGGGCTCTGCTTCATATGCTTATCAAAAAGGTTCTCATTGCTTTAAATCCCTAGTTGAAATCAACCTCAAATTTTACAAAGATATTATCAATTAATAAAATATAAGCTATTATTAACATATATTCCAATATATTTTGGTGCTACTTTGAATCTAATACCTCTTTAATTTTTAATTCATTATCATTATCTAATTTTATAAGAAAAAATGGTATTTGATTTTTTTTAATATATTCATTAACTTATATGGCTAAAAAAGAGACATATAGAATACAAGATGGACCTTCATAGACTTTGATAGGTATAATCAATATGAAATTGAATTGATCTACTTACATATAGAAAATGATTCAAATCTACAATAATCCAACTTCTCACAAGGACAAATAATCTTAATATTACAATAAAATAACCATACCTTATAGTCAATGTGTATTTAAATTTATTCCTTGTAATAGAAATTTTTTTATCTTTTTATATTCTTAAGCTTCTATTTATTATATCTTCATTATTGCATGTAGCTTTAATAAATGATTTATCGAATCTTTTTCTATAGAATTATTAAATTTTAAAAAATTAAAAATATCAAATTATAGATAATAATCATAATTAGCATAAAAAAATAATTATTGAGTATAAAAATGTATCATATCAAAAATATCCTAATCAAAAATTAATCAATATGTGATTAGAACAATAACAAATACTTCAAGTATTAAAGCCACTAATAAAAATTAATCAATTAACTAGCTAGCAAGGAGCTATAATTATAAATTGAAAGAAAAAGATTGAAAATGATATTATAAGTTTAAATATTATAGCTTGAATTTATAGATATTTTATATTTTTATATTTTTAGATACTATTTATTAAAATTATCTTTTTTTAGAAATTAATTATTTTTAGGCTATAATCCTATTATTATTATTTTTAATTCTTCCATCATTTTTTCTATTTAAAACTTTATAAAATTCTATTTTCACTAGTTTATAATTTTAATATTTTTTTTTGATTTTTTTAATTTATTTATATTTAAATTTTTACATCTCCATCTTCTTTACTTTATATTTATATTTATTTATATATATTTATAAATATCTTATCAAAAATTAATATCTTTGATATTTTGATACCGTCAAACTATTTTATTTTATTATATTTTATTTTCTTGTAAAATTAGTTCTTATAATCCTTCTATTTTATCTTTTATTATAAAGATGATAATTTTTATCTATATTTAGTTATAATATATATATATATATATATATATATATATATATATATATATATATATATATATATTAAGTTTAGAAAATTCTTATTTAAATTCGATTTATTTAAAGTCCAAAAATTTTAAATCTAATAAAAAGTTTTAAATTTAAATTTTTTAATTTTTTAAAGGTTAATAATTAAAAATAAAATGAATTTTTTTAATTTTTTGAAAAATGTATTTTATTAATGATAAAGAACACCATCTCAAATTCTAACTTATCTACTTTTTTATTATTCTTTTGGTTTTATAAATCTTTTGAATTGTTAGATCATGTCATATCTTGGACTATTCTACCTACCTATTTGAGCAATCAAAATTCTAAATTTAAAAAATAAATATATGGGTCTATTTAAATATTAAATTTAAAATTTTAAAATATTCAAAAAGATTTATGTAGTTTAAGTTCTTAACTATATTATTAAAAATATAAGTATTAAAATAGTAAAGTAAGTCAATTCAAAGATAATAGAAAAATCCATCAAAATCTTTTAACGAATCTTCATTATATTTATAAAAAAATAAGCATTAACTATACCTTCCATCTTTCACTATCTTTAATATGAATTCTATTACTTGTTGGTTGCTAATTATTGAAATGAGTTGAAGATGTGCCTTGTCATAAAAATATGGTAGTACTAAGCAAGTAAGCCATGGTGTTGTGTTATATAAAACTAACCTATGAATGCATTGAACATTTGACTATGGAGGGGTTTGAACTTATCTTGAAGTTTGATTTACAACCCAAAATAATGCATAAATTATTTGAAAACATCCTTTGGCATCCTTGAACAATTCATATAAGCTTACAATTAAATTAAGTATATTTTATAAAAAAAATTATAAATTATAAAAAAACCTTATCATATTCTATTTTTTTAAAATAATCTTCAAACAAAATTTAATATAATTTAATTGAATACTAATCAACCTCTAATTCAATTCTAAAAAAACTTCTAATCAAATTCTAATCAAATTCTAATTCAATCCTAATTAAATTATAGATCAATCTTAATTCAATTTTAATTAAATTTTATATCCTAAATAAAATCTTAATCAAATCCAAATCAAATCTTAAATCTTAAATACATCCTAAATTTCTAAAAAAAAAATCTAAATCTTAAATCTTAAACTAATCTTTAATCAAATCCTAAAAAATTCTTAAATATCAAATCTTAAATAAATCCTATAGAAAATTAAAATCTTAAAAAATAATAATTTGACTATTAATTTCAACTCAAAATTTTTAAATCTTTCAATAACTCAGTTGAAAATAAGTATAAAAACTTTTTAAAAGATAAAATTTATTAAATAGAAGATAAATCTCTTAATTTGTTTAGATATTGATCAACATCCTTTTCTAACCTTGATATCAATTTCCAAGTGCCAAAATCTCTTGAATTCATCATTTAATTTTTTTCAAACCATGCAATATTATTAAAAATTAAAATTTCTAGTAGAGTGCAAAGTTTTTTTCAATCTAACTAGCAAATTTTTGAAAATCTTAAAATCCTTATTGATCCTTAAAACTCCAATTTTCGAAACTCCAACACTCTTAAGTTTCAATAACCTTTAAACAAGTCATTTGATCAAGCTCAAATTTAGATCTCACATCTAACACAACTATGATCTTACAAACATAAAATTTTACTTATAGATCAATTACCAATCTTACAAAATTCTCTAAAATATAAATCTTTTATATTTCTTTAAAAAACTAAGTCATTTCAAATTAACCTTGACTTTACAAAGTCTTTACAAATTCATTGCAAACTCAAATCACTCATAGTGACTACTCTAAAAACCTTGTTCTAGTTTGCTTTCAACTTCCACTCTTTAAACAACAAATTATTAATTTCAATATGCCAAATTTAATAGGATATAGAATGCTCCATAATATTTTTAATATAACATGTTCTACTATAGATAGGTCACATGATAATAGCAATACCACATGGCCATATACTTCACCACCGCATCACACAGCAATGGTGATATGCTATATTATATGGCATTGGTACAAGAGATACTTTAAAATTTTACTTTACTTTTAATTTTTCTAATTTTACATCCAATTTAACATTGTATACCAGCTTACAAAAAAATTGATAGTGAATACAAGATTGGAAAGCTAGATTTATGGTTGACTTAATGATGCAACAAATTGATGAGTAACAACAATGAACTTGAGGTTGAAAAATAGTACTAATGAGATAGATAAGGGTTTGGAAGCAGCAGCAATGGAACATCAATGAAGAAGTAGCACCAATAAAAACATGCAGCAAGAAACATCATAATTTAAGCAAAAGCAATGAAAACAATAGAAATTGAGAATTGAAAGGAATAAAAAGGGAGCAAAGGGTTTACCCAGGTCCTTCGGGTATGAGCCAGAATTTGATACCCGTTAGGTTGATATCCGGGGAGTGGATATCCCGAATGGATGAGAGAAGCACCGAAGCCGCCGTCGTAGTCGTCGTCGTGGTCTTCGTGTTTTGGTCGACGTCGTCTATTGCTCTCGAAGGCATGGAATCGGGTGCTGGAGTGAGTGAGTGCGTAATTCCATGAAGTTTGCAACTGGTTAAGTTGTTGGTTGCGATCCGTGATGGCTCGTCGGGGCTCTTTCTTGGCCCAAACACTGCTTTCGAAGCTGGTGTCATCGCCTTCCCCATTGCCATCTGCACGTTTATTTGCTGTCTTTGGGATTCGGAGCTTGTGCAGTGGAACAATTTCAGCGCCCCCTCTGCCCAGTGGTGCTGGCAAGGGCATTGGTGAGGAAGATGAGAGACCCCATTCGGCTGAAATTGATCATGAGTCACGGAAAGTAGCAGTGTTTTGGGACTTGGACAACAAGCCGCCCAGGAATGTGCCACCTTATGACGCGGCAGTCCGGCTCATAGAGATGGCTGCGGGTTTCGGGGAGGTTGTGGACGTAGCGGCTTACGCCAACCGTTATGCGTTTGCATATCTCCCGCTCTGGGTGAAGGAGCAGCGAAAGGAAAGGAGGCAGTTGGATCGACTGGAGAGGGCCGGCATCATCAAGGTGAATTGGGATTGCTGGGTTCACTGCTCAGATTAGGGCTCGGTGCAATTTGGTGGATTCTAGTTTTCTCTGAAATTTCTTTATCTGACTGGTCGTTTCCGAAGAGAGATCAATGGGACTCTGCAATTGTACACACTTTGGACTTCATCAGTGATGTATATTGCTAGGGGATTTTAAAATATCTGAGTTGGGAATGTGATTGAATAATTGGGCGTCAAATGCATGCACAGGTTGAAGGTTTAGGATGTTGTGAGGATGTGTTGCGAACGTTATATTTGGCTATTGAGAGCTTGTTCCGGATCGTGCACATTTTGATTCTTCGTTTTGTTTTTAAAAGTAGAATTGTATTTATTAGGTACATGTTGTGGAATGGTTTTTAGTGTCTGCGAAGTTATAAAATAGATCAGAAGTTTTAGGGTATCTCCTTGAGTCTCTAATCCGATGACCTGTGCAGCCGTCTGAGCCTTATGTTTGCGGCTATTGCGGGCGGAAGTGCAAAACGAACGAGAAATTGAAGAAGCATTTTCGAGATTTGCATGAGAGGGAACGGAATAAGAGAATGAATAGGATGAATTCATTGAAAGGAAACAAGCGTCTCAAGTATCGAGCCAGTTTATCTGAGAAGGAAGAAAGGTATAAGCTGACTTTTCCTTGTGATCTTACGAGCATCTGTTCGCATATTTCACCTCAAGCATAAATTTACAAGCCTAAAGAAAATCACCTACTTTTAATAAGGACTAGAATAAGATATCTGTAAAAGCTTAAAGGTCTGTTTATGGAGAATCCAGCGAGAGAGTCGTTGTTACCGTAACGTATAGGGTGCTACTTAAACAGTACGTAACAGCCAGTGAGATTTAGAGCTGCCAGCATACATCAAATCCAATTTTCAATGATTCATTTGTGGTCTAATGTTTAGGGTTTATCGAAGATGCTGGTTGCGTGTATGTTGGTGCTTAGAATTTGTTGAAGTAACAAATACAATAAAGAACTGCACTTGCTATAGGCTTGGCCATGGTTAAAACAATATATACCTGAAAACCTCTCTTTGACTTGGAATGATTCGCACAGAGTTCTATTGTGAAGTATGCAAGTCTCAACTAATATTACATTTTTGGTTTTCTATGTATCAGATACAGGGCTGCAGCAAAAGAGGTTTTAGTGCCACAAGTTGGATATGGTCTTGCTGGCGAGTTGCGGAGGGCAGGAGTTTACGTCAGAATGGTTAGCGATAAGTCTCAGGCCGCTGACGAGGCTCTCAAGAGTCATATGAATAGATCCATCAGACAGGGGGTTGATTGCATTTGTCTTGTGTCGGATGACTCGGACTTCGCCAACATACTAAAATTGGCACAGTCAAAACATCTTCATACAGTGGTTGTGGGTGATTCTTCCAGCTTAAGTAGGTTTGCAGATGAGAAGTTTTCATGGCGGGATGTCGCGTCTGGAGCAGCTCTTGCTGTAGCTAACGAGATAGAGGGACAGTGGTCTTTAGAGGATGGATATAAGAATGGGTTTGAAGATCGGTTTTATCCGGAGTACGAACGACGAAGAGCTAGGACTGGAAACAATTGGGATTTCAGCATTTCAGATAGTGACAGTGAAGAAGATTTCTGGGATATAGACGAAGGCAAGGAAGTAATGGATCCTGAAGGAAACGCAGTGTGGCCCATGGAAAGCTTGGCTAATGAAAGGTGTGAGAAGAAAGTTCTCACACGCAAAGATTTTTGGTGGTTACCACATTCAGATGAAGACCTGCCTGAATCTCACCGTCTTAATAAAACCGAGTGAACTAGCTGCCCATCTGTCTGTGAGCCAATGTCATGGGTCCCAACACGTTTTAGTGGACTTTTTCAATGCAAGATGCTTGGAGCTGTCATGAAACGTTGGAGAAAGCCATAATTTTTATTATTGAATGCAATTCTCTCACTAAAGTCAGTTCTCATCGACTGCTCGTCAGGCGCGCACATTTTCAAATCAGTACACTTGATTGTTCCACGACTTCACAGATCCGTTTGCACTGCTGGGCTTATGGAACAGGATCTAGCCCTCCACTGAAGGAATTGTGATCGATGGACGTTATTCACACTGAAATTTTGAGCATTGAGTAGTGATTTTCATCCTTAAGATGAAATCTATCTGGATCACTGACTGGTTGCGAGGCAGACAAACGGTTCATGCACTTAACAATCTCTTGAATAATCACGGTAGATGTGATTCTGTTTTTACTTTTCTTAACCCAATCGAAACTGTAACCTGAAACACTGTTCCGGACGACTTTTGCTGTGTTTATCGGATCCTTTGCTATGTGTGCATTACCCGGATGATCTGGCCGGCTGTATCTATTTAGAGTATCACTGTCACGGTGCATTAATGTGATATTCCTTCTGGTGTGTTGGTCTATTACAAGAGAATATTGGAGTATCAAAGGAATCTGACCTGATTTGTGCTAACCGGAGCATCTCTTACTGTATGAGGTTTAAAGCGAAAATGATTACTGTACAGAGTGTTTAATCAAATATTTACAGTCAGACTTCTAATAGACGTTCAATCGAAGTCGACCCGTGGGCAACCAGACCACCTTGAAGATGCCGACGTTCTGAAGTGGGTTACCACGTTGGTGAACAGTACCGTTGAGAAACAGATAAATTTGTTCCGTAAGGCATATCTCTTTTGCTCGTAATCAGCGAAAGAACATGACTCAGGGTGTGATTCCGTGTACAACCCAACAGCACATAGAAATGCACACATGAAGAGAAATTCCTAGAGTTGGAAGTTGGATTAAATTGATTAAGAGTACCCAAGAATCGCAAGCTGTGTGAAATCCCTTCGATGATCATTGGGCTCCGGCTCTCCTACCACGTCTACAGTGTATATAAACAGGTATGAAAAGGACATTATGGTTACGGACATACGAACAGTTTGGACAGTCCTTTAGTGGTATCCAATGTGATTTTTGAATCTGCACATAAACAGTTATCATAGTGATGCTTGGGTCAAGATTACGTTTTTTGTGCACATTTGATATTGTCAATCAGACAATAAGGTTGAGGGTGGTAACTATTATAATGACATGTTCTTTAATATTACTTTGAGAAGCGACGAACTGTAGTAGTTGTGACTGATGCGTCCCTGACTTCTGGTACCTGTTGAACAACAAATACATCCAAGACACGGGCAGGTCATGAATTACGGACAAGCAGATTCCAGGTTGAAAAGTCCACCGGTGGCCTGGTTCTATGACACAACCTCGAAAATCTGCAGAAGAGACTCCCAGAGTAAATTGCATCCTGCTTAACCACGTCACCTAAGGTTGAGAAATTTCAATTGACATTGGTTAGCAGATGCAAAAACCTGAAATAGGTGGTGATGAACGAGAAATAACAAAACAAACCTTTGATTGCGGGCAGGATCTAGTCAGGAACTCTTGAGGTGAATGTTGAACCACCTGAACAAGCCAGGACCTGCAACCAAGGTCATCTCTGGTGTCAGCTTTTCAGGTTGCTTAAGTTGCATGCATCAGAATGGGGATGACGGTGTAACTTCATCTATTGCCAAGGAACACATCTATCTGCACAAGGCTTTTATGCGCCGTTGGGTAACAGTATAACCTCACTACTCATAACATGCTGCCTACAAACCCTAAAATCAATAGCTGACCACTTCGAAAGTGGTGAATGGTGCATGCTGAATTCGAAGGCATTCACTACCTGAACACCTTATGACAGAAGTGTCAGTGATGACGGTGATAACAGATCCTGGCGTCATGTAAACACCACTTACTTCTCATGCGTGTACCATGAGCTCCCGTCCTCATGAGTATGCTCGGTAATCCATACGAAACATAAATGGAAATGCGACAGCAATTCCGAGGTGAAAAAAAACCAAAACAAAAACAAAAAACATTCGGAATAGAAACATCAAAAAAAGTCTTTTTTGCAAGTCAGAATCAATGTGTACAGATTTCTTGTTTCTCACTTTCAATCTACAAAAACCGGCTGCCGTTTCCATCCAAAAATGGAAACAATCGGCACCTAACATGTGCCACCTGTATAGAAGCTTTCATGATAACTGTACAAAACTAATCTCAGCTAATCTGCCACCCCGCAGCTACAGCTCGGATACAGAAAATACTCCAAAACTGCTTTTCTCCGCAATGGAATTTACAATGGCAAAGCTGCAGCCTGTCTCTAGTCGTTTCATTAAGCTACGGTGTCAGCAAAGACAGAGATTGGAAAGCCCATCACAGGATCCTTGTATTTACATCTCCTAACTGAGAACTAACTAGAACACTGCTGTACACTACAAAAGAAATCGCCGGTGTCATCCTCACTGAGGCAGACCTCGGATGTCTGCCTTTTACTGTATGGGCAACCACTAAGGATCAAAAAAAACAGGCAACCCGAAAATTGTGAAGAAAAATAATCAAGCAAAGTTCCGAATCGGGAGAAACAAAAAAGGAAAAAACGAACCCAAAATAAACTCTTGTGACTAGAAAGAATAACACACAGCCTTGGGAAGAGGACATTCACATAAGGGCAGATGTCGGAAAGAGTAGAATAACTCAAAACGTGGGGTCCAAAGGAAGATCTCTGAAAACTGATGAAGAGCCGAAGATAGTCAAGTTCCCTGAAATCTTAGGCTCACCCAGCCTTGCGAGGAGAACTGGTGGCCATGGACCCCAAAAAGTCAGATTGACCAGAGTATTTGATGTGAGACCCCACGGAGGCATGATCTGGTCCAAAGCTTGGGAAGTACGGTGCACACGATGAGCTGTGAACTGCCGCCATGTACTTTTGAACCTCATTGGCCACCATATCTCGCATTAAGGCCACAAGTCCAGCATTAACAGCAGCATCCAGACCATGACTCAAGGTTGGCGGACGTGGAGGATCCCAAGTCTGGGTCCCTTGGACTCCCTGAGCCTGGAGAACAGGGCCAAAAGCTTGCGCAACAGCAGACCGCACCGCCGCACTCATCATCTCAGCGGTGGGAGGATTCCCGCTTAAATTGTAACCGGTAGGTGCCGCACGTGAGAGTGCAGAAAGCTGGGATCCCACAAGCTGAGTTGGAGAAGATGCTGTGGGCACAGAGAAAGTAGGCGTTGGGAACCGATCTGGAAACTTTTGATCCACGGAAATTCCACCCTCCCACCGTCCCTGCCCATGCAGATCTGGAGACACAAGCTGACTTTGAGAACCGGGCACGTGAGAAGCGATAGATACTTGGCGGGCAAGAAGACTATCCTCCGAAGAAGACTGCTCCTTCCTTGCTGGGCTTGAACCTGGTAGTGAAAGGCTCAACGAAGTAGGGGGATCGGTCACCTCCGATGTTTCTGAAGGTTCTGAAGTCGGTGGAGTAAAGACCCCATTGGGACTGAATGAAGAGAAAGCAGAAGAACGAGGAATAGGCCGGAAAACCTGAGGCGCATGCATGAAAGTAGCGGATAGCTCCCGGGGGGATTCGCTCTCAACATGCAGACGTTTCATCCTGTGAGAATCGACTTCCCAACCACCCTTTTCTTGAACACTTCCATCAGAGGAGATCTCCTTATTACTCCGCTTCCAACCGTCGACGCTACCACCATCATCCTCATCCACATGAGAAACTCGCCCCGCGTGATTAAATTGTTGCTCAGCACACTCCGAACGAGACGGTCGTTCCACCGTATGGCGGCGACGCAAAGTTGAGTTCCAATGATTCTTGATAGCGTTGTCCGTTCGTCCTGGCAACAGGCGGGCTATCGTAGCCCACTTGTTCCCGTGTTGACTGTGTGCTGCAATTATGGTCTCATCTTCCGCTGTGGTGAAAGGACGATGCTGAACCTGCGGGCTCAACTGATTACACCAGCGAAGCCTACATGACTTCCCTGATCTACCCGGAATACCTTTACTGATCAAAGACCAGTTCCTCGCGCCATACTTCTCCACAAGCTGCTGAAGAGCAGCATCTTCCTCCGGACTCCAAGGTCCCTTAATTCGGTCAAACTCCTCAAGTACAGAACACCTCATAGGACCCCCCATCGACATTTTGAGTACACTTCAACCACTGCCTCATGTACAACCTCCAGACGAAATGCAGAAGGTAAGAGGCTCCTCGAGACTCTAAGGAGGCAGGATTGACCGCTTCCTCTGCAGGAATCTTAAAATAAACTGAATGGGAAATGTTTTAAAATTCAAGGGAACGACTCTCGAAATGAATTGTACAAGGATCTCAGAATAACAGGGACGGCTAACCGATGTGTTCGATTGCAGAGTGAAAGCTGTCAGGCCAAGTTGAGGAACGAAATCTTGGTCACTGACTACGGACAGGGCACCCAAAAAAATACCTTTTCGAGGATATACACTCATATAAACAAGACCTGAGCTTAGTGATAAATAAAATAACGTAAGCGTGACTAAAGTCACACAGATACTTTGGATCTGCCCTCCAGGTCAGCTATGAAGCAATCCAAACAATGAGTTTGAAGTTAAGCAATGCAGCATTTTCCACAGGTCCGGTGAACCTGTACATAGATCGGCACAAGCACATCAGAAAGTAGACACATGACATAGTAACGCACAACTCAACTGGCCACTACGTCTAGATGTATACACTTGATCTCCATGACTGATACATCGTTGTAAAGATTGCGCCAGCTTTCTGTTGAGGACAAGATCTCTCACGAGAGCTTCGAAAGATGCGTAGACTCAACTTCGAAGATCTCGTTTGCAATTTTCAATACCGGCTTAAAATGAGTAGCAGAATGCTTTCGAGGAGACTAACGCTAAGGTGTGATATTACGAAAATTAAGGATGGGATAAGAGGATTACCACCACGGTGGTTGAGATTCGCGACGAGGTGGTCAAATTCTCAAAGGCAGATTACAAGGTTGACTTCTAGAAAGAAACTTCTGATTCTGTCGTTCGCTGAAAAGCGAGGAGCCCAAGACGGCTTTGAGTGTGTCGCCCGAATTCCAACCCTGAAGAATGGTTACCACTGAGGAAAAAAGAGGCTCATGCGCTAACACTCCAATTCACAGCATCTGTTCCTGTCGATAGTACACACACAGACACCTCCTTTATAACTCCCCGAGTATCCTCCACCACATGTCCGCACCCCAAAACCCCTAACCCTGACAGTCGCCGTCGCAGTCGCTCTAATCAACCCCTCACCTGACAACAACATAAACTCCACTGCGACAAAATCACGACACATATACACACAAACCCAACACAGAGAACCCAATACACAAGAAAAGTACAAAAACAGGAACTTTGGCTATACACCTACCTCTACAACACCACCTATCGCTCAAACAAACACGACAACACTCACACGATCTCGGTACACACCCTCCCCACAAGAGAGAGAGAGAGAGAGAGAGAGAGTGTGAGGGAGAAAGAGAGCTTCAGATGACGACTCAAGCCACCCCTACTCCCCAAAAAAATGGACAAAAAAAAGCAGAAATCTTCCTAAAGAAGGGATCAGAAAAGGGGGAAAAAAACGTGGGAGAAGAGACAGAGGACGGGGACCAAGAGGGAGGAGCGGACACAAGGAACGGGGAGCAAGGCAATGGCGATGCCGATGGTGGTCGTAAGAGGCAACAGCAGCCTATTCTTCAATCAGAAAAGAAGAGGACTCTGTGGAGCCTGACACACACTATACCCGTTTGATACCCGATCCTTGCCCAGTTCTCGAAGCCAGCCTGATGGGGGCATTTGGGTACCCAGAGAGAAAAGCCCAAGGATGGATAATTCGGGGATCCCACAAATCCTTGCATGGTTGTTTATTTACGGCCATTCAGAATGCTGAAAACAGCGACGATTTGGGGAGGGGGTTGCAAAATAAAAATATATGTAAATAAATAAATAAAACAAAACGAAAAAAGTAAAGGTTTTTTGTTTATTATTGTTTTTTAAAAAGGGTGTTTGTCGTGGGTGTTGCAACGACCACATGCTGCATTGGATCTGATATGATCCAATGAAGACAACTGCTTCTTGTGGGTTGTTGAAAATACTGCCTGCTACAAAAATTTCAAAAAATTCATGTCCACTGTAGGAGAAGGGAAATATAAATAGAAAAAAAAAGAGGGAAAAAAAAAAAAAAAAAAAAAAAAAAAGGCATGAAAGTCACTTTGTTTTTTTTTTATTCTAGGAGTGGTGGTCAACTTGGATACTGACTGACGCAACTCGGAAGCAAGTTTCCCTTGTGATCCTCTTTAGTCCTCCGAATCCGAAGAGGGTTGTGGTAGTATTATCTTATCTTGTGCAAATTTTACATTTACGGTATCTGGCTTTGTGACACCGAATAACACCACAGTTTTCTGCTCTCTATGAAACTCAGATCCGCGCTTCATCTTCTTCTTCTTCTTCCGAGTAAGTTATATGGATTCATATCTGAATCCACATAATGTTGACATGGAAAACAGCAATTTAATGAATGCAAAGGCTGACTTATAACCAATGCTGTAACTGCCAACTGTTAGTCCTCACTTCCAGAAGGAGACACACCCCCACACTCTCAACCCCTCTTCTTTTTTTTAATTTTATTTCCTGGATCATAACTGACGCTGGCAGTTAAATGGGGTCGTCTCTATTAAAAAGAGACACAGAGTAACTGTAACTGTCAGTCTTGGCCTCTCCTTTCCTTTCTCCTTGGCTGCCGTGTTCATCCACTGACCGTTTTTCATCAAACCCTAAAACCCAGCTACTACTATACTTCTTTGTCTGAGTTACCTACTTCGTAGCCCATCCAAACCCAGCTCCAACCAGAACACAGACACAGGTAGAGAGAGAGAGGTCCAATGCGGCCACCGTTCTGTTGTTTATCTCAATCCAGCAAACCCTAAAACAGGCTGTTTTATACGAGGAAACATCCATTGGACGAAAAGGAAAAAAGTGACAGGAAATGAAGAAAAAAATCCCATCCTTGGCAATTTGGATTTTTAATTCAGGGCTTCCGACGTGGCAGGGATGAAAGTGTGGCTCTGTTCTCCTCCAATAAGCAAAAAAGGTATTGTTTTCGCTTTGCCACGACTGTTAGGAATGGGGAAAAACCGGGCACTACAAGGCTGAGATTTGTTGCCGTCTTTCGCACACAAATTGCATAAGATTAAACCCAATAAGAATATTGTCGCCAAAACCATGTGTTGGCCTTTGCAGATATCAACGTGGAAGGGACACACAGGAATTGACTTATGGGTGTCTGATATTTCTTTATTGGAACAAGCTTAGCATTTCACTTGTGGGTATCTGTGTTTTCTCTAAGGAAAAAATTGCATCTTATCGTTCGTGAAACTCACATGAATCTCACAGACTCCTTGATACTTCAATTCTTAGACTGGTAATATTATTGTCACTTTAGTTGATTTTGATAAGAAAAAACACTACCTTTGAGGAACTGATAACCCCTCCACTTTCAACTGGTTCATCTGTTGATTATTTCCAAAATTGGTGAACAGAGAACCTGAGATTGGCCCACTCCAAATTTGTACTCTAAATATAAAACAAGTAAATCCAAAATATGTGCCGGTCTTATCAATCTTTATTATTATTATTATTATTATTTCAGCTTTTGCTGTTGGCTTTTGTGGGGGGGGGGACTGTATAAGAAGATATTAAAGGAAGGTTCTGGAATTAAATAAGAATAGACCTGGAAACAAAGGGCGAAATGTTAAAATTAGAAACAACGATGCCTCTCATGTTTGAAATGATTCAGCTTCAAACAGTAGTTCTGTGCGCTTATGCGGAGGGGGGTTGCTATTTGTTGAATATGATGAAAGCCACACGAATAATGGGCTCTGTTACACAGGCTTCATTCTGTTAGAAAAATAAAAATATCTTTTCCTGGTGTCTGCATTCTTCTTCATGGACGAATAAATAAATAAATAAATGAGTACATTATTCATGACATTCATATGCATTCAAAACGTTATGCAAGATGAAATTAAATGCTGCTATTTTTTCATTAGTATTATTATAACTGAATAAATAATAAAAAGCTCATTTTTATTTCCAACTTAGATTTTTTTGGCCTTTTTTCCCAAAAAGTATTACATAGTGTCAGTATATTTATTTTAATTATTTGTGTGTTTGATGGCTTAAAATGTAATATGGTTTTTTTATTTATTTTATTTTATTTTATTGTTAAGATTGTTGTATTTGGATATATACATTAGCATGTATTCCAAATGGCTATATTTCTTATACAAGGAAGAGTAAGGTATGGTTGCATTTTTGCACAATGTTTGCTTCACATTGTATTGGAGGTTGTTTATGCCACTCTTCAAAAAGATGTAACAAACACATGTATTGAAGGGATTAAAAATTTAAAGAAGAAAGGCTTCTTGAATGATTAGTTGCCACACAAAATAACTCTAAATTTACTAATAAAAAAACCAAATATTTGAAAAAACCCCACACTTTTATTATTTTGCACTGATCTATACAAAATTTAAAGTTTGGAGGTTAATTGAACTAAAGCCTAAGGTTGTTGGGAAACAAGTAATTCCTTTTTATATATGATTAGATTATTGGAATTTACTAGAATTGGGTCATGGAGGATGAAATCAATAAAACAATTTAATATTATCATATTTGTACATTTTGGCATCTATCCACATTAAACCACTAGAAAGTATTAAAAAGTGAAATAAATAGTTTGTCACTTTTAATGGCACGGAACTTCAACATTGGTAAAATAAAAAGTTGTATAAATGATGAATTGTAAAGAAAAAAATAAAACAAAAACTATGAATTATAAAATAAGAGAAAGCCAAGGTTGTCTTATTGGAAAAATAAATTATATGCATAGTACAACCATGAAAATATAACGTCCAAAACCTTATAAAATATATAATCAAACCAATCACAGAAAAATAGATGAAAATAACTTGTTGAATTTGTTTGGACGTTAAATTTGCATCAGCAACGGCATCTTGGATTCAAGATTGAAATAGAATAGACAAAATACTGACCAATTCTATTCTTTTTTTTTTCAACTGGTTACTACAAATATTTTTACAACTATTTCTGGAATATTTTTTTATGGCAAAATTTTGGGTTTATTAATATTAAAACAAGCATGACATTAAATTTATAATAAAATAACTACTGTATCAATATAATTTTAAATAATGTATGTAAAAAATAATTATAACTACAAAAAAAATAAGCACAAAAATATATTATAACTCTGCAAGACTATTCAGAATCTTTCCACCTTGATAATTGGATTAATACACTGCACAAAGGAATTCCTCTTCCTAAAATGAAAGATTGAATTAGATGACATAAGAAAACAGATGACACACTTCTATGTGTAATATTTCAATTTCTATAATCTATATATTCCATGTAAAAATTTGATGTGATATGGATACATTTTGTGCATGAGAAAATCTTATTCTATTCATGGTAAAAAATCAATCAATGGATAATATTTTTTAACGACATAATATTAAAACAACATTCCATGTCTCCACATCAAAGAATTGAATTGATAATGCTAAGATTTAATAAAGAATGTGGAACTTGGCCACAAAGCTTTTTATTGAATTAGTAATTGATCCACAAAAATAACTTGAGATAAAAAAATATGTTGTTTGTTTTAAACTCTCTTTTAGATTAAAAATATTTTGTTGTATGATCACTTATAATAAACATGTCTGTATAGACAATATAGATTCAAAGAAATGGAGAGGTTTTTGAAGAAGAAACCTCAAGTGACCAGCACATAAGACAAGCAATATGGACGAATTTTGATAGGTATGGACAAACACTTAAAAACAAATATCAAACATTAAAAGAAGCCACTTTTGTTACAAGATGGAATTGTTCGTGGGCGGAAAAGAACATTATAAGAAATTAACAAAAAAAACAGTTCTTAAATGGCAATAAAAGTTATTACGCATTGTGGCTTACATATATATATATATATATATATATACATACACATATACATCAACCTTTGAAATCCATAAGCTATTTAATAGTAACCAATTTGATCCACTCATGCTTGCTATGTAATATAAAGATTAAGGTACGAGATGAGTTTTAGAAAACCCTAATGAGGGTGATCAAAATCCATCTTCCGCTATTCATTGCAACGCCCTCGAAAGTCCACTGGATGGAATAATAATACATTTTTACCCTAATTTATTGACTTCATACAAATGTCCTGGATCCAAGGGAATAAGGTTTTATATTTAAGGAATTTCTAAAAATATCAATATCATTAGCGAATGTCATCGACAATGGTAAAATTACGATGGATTATTTCTTAATAGGAATGTGACTTATCTGAGAAGTTATGATCCTTGTTCATTGGACATGGCCAGAAAGAGAAAACGAGACAACCCATCAAATGGGTTTTGTTTTTTTTGTTTTTTTTTTTCGGTGTGTGTGTGTGGAGAGGGAGTGAGATCATCACAGCACCGGCGAGTAGCGTGGTACTCCCCACCGCTGATCCTCATCACGCAGCGTTCTGCGACAACATCGGCACAAGACGCGTCCCATCCAATGCTGTAAGGTGGGTTTCCGGAATAAGCATCCCTGGGAGGATTCTAATTTGGGGGGCACGGCTTTGTTGTCACTTTCCCCTGTTAGGTACCG